ATATCTCAACTAGCTGAGTAGATCTAGACATGTGTGTCCGTCCATCTGTCTTTTATAATTTTTGCATGTAGAATGGGTTCTGGCCAATGAAGACCCCTATTGTTTTTGGTAAAGATCGATTAATATTTAGGGAATGAAATGGAGAAAATACTTAATTTTTGTCGGCTTTTCTGGTCGCTCCAGATGCCGCAATTATGGCTCAAACATCTCGAATTTTTACATGGAGAAGGGGATCGGACCAAATAATAAGCATACTTGTTTTGATAAACATCGGTCAATATTTATCGGGTCAAATGGACCCTGACTTTTGTGTGAAAAATTACAAAATTTGTATTCTATGGCGTATATATTTACTCCTGAAGGACACAGTGCGAGAAGTTTATAGTATATCCAAGAGGAGTTGTTGACCTTCAAATTGATAGTAATTATATGGCTGTATGTACTCGGATGTGGAAGTTATACGCAATTAGATAAAGGTGACTATGCGCATAGTATTACTATTACTCCATTAGAGGACGGAAATGGCGCTGATCGCTTTGAAATTGTACATGAATTTCCGATTATTTTCAAGGACGACGCCTATAGTTGTCGGTGAAGTTGAGATTTCATTCGGGGGGGTGCAATGAACCGAAAACTTTAATTTTGTCAGATTTTCTAGTCCCTCTATAGGCAATTATTATTATTATATTATACAAGGTGAAGGGGATCTGACCAAATACTTAGAGCGGCTGTTTAGATGATGATCGGTCAATATTCCGAGGGTCAAATCATCCAAAACCTAATGTGACTAATTTTTTTTTTATTTTATGGCTAAAAAAATTCACTTCAAAAAAACATTTTGGAAAATATGTCAGACTTAGAAAGTGGAGTTTTCTTTTCGTGGTAGTTATGTAGGGTATCATATGGTCGGCCCGTCCGACTATACTGCTCCGCTCACTGGTTATTTTAATGTTGTTAGTTACTGAGGGAGTTTTTCTATAAAAATAATCTTCCCTAGAGTCCCCAAAAAATTGTACATGCGAAAAAATACCCCTGGTCTTCAGATATATTTTTTTTTTTTCAAGGGAAAAAGTCTACCTCTGCGCCTGAATTTTTTTTTTATTTTCTACAGAAAAAAAGGGCTTCCTTGTGAGACTGAGAATGTGTATTTTCGCCGGAAAAAAGTAGGACCTGAAATTCAAAGAATATTTTTCAGGAGCCCAACTATTGCCTGTATACAACTTTTGTTCTCTAAAATGCTTATTTTTTTAGAATAAAAATATTGTCAGCAACTTCGGGAGTTTTTCCGTTAAAAAATGTTCAAATATTTTTAAAAAAAAATCAGGAACATTTCATTTATAAAACTCATTGAGGAAGTCCTTTTCAATAAAAAACCAAGGTCCCTCAATGGGATTTATTTCTCAGGAACTGAGAATGAAACCTTCTACAGTTAAGACTTTATAAAAAGTCTTAACTAGTTCCTATGAATTGCCATAGAAAAAAATTCCCCAGGGTCCTGATAAGGTTTTTTTTTTGCTATCGGTATTTCCTATGGTATTTTTGCTATAAAAATCGGGTTTCCGATTTTCACTTCACTAAGGATTTTTTTAAGAAAAAAAATCACATATTTTCACATATTTGTACCGCATCCGTTTCAGACAAATTTCCGTCGTCCGACTTCCTAGGGTGGGCACAATAATTCTTAAAGAAAGTATGTGATTTGGACCAAACTTTACACATCATAATACTTCTTCCACACATAAATCAACTTCGAAGATGGGGAATATCGGTTCACTCCTTCTGATACCCATATTTTCTATAGAAAAAAAATTCTATTAAAAAAATTAGAAAATTCGAAGTCATCTGCCCGGCTAGGTAGTGCGCAGGGTAACTATCAAGGAAAGTATACGTATATATATTTCTTCCAAAATTAAATCGAGTTCGAAAATGCGGAATTCGGGTTCCTGGCACAAAAATGTATTATTAACGGATCATGAGATTTTTCTAATTTAAAAACCGACGTCCGGTGAACTGAGGTCTTGGGATTTTTTTTTCAAAAGGAATAAAAAATACCAACCACAGGTGAGCTGTAGACTTCCGCTCACTATTGACTATAGAGAAAAAACTATCATCAGTGTAGTCTAGTGAATTTTTTGTCTGTAGAAAAAAATACCTCTGGAACAGAGTTCTAGCAACTTCTTTTATAGAAAAAAATACTGACCTCCGGTGAATTGAGGTCTTGGAATGACTAAAATGAGATCTAGCAATTTTTTTTATCTTAGAGAAAAAATACGACCCAGGTGAAAAAAGTATTTTTCAAATGTCTGTCACAGAAAATTTCCCTCTTTCGTGGCTAAGTATAATTTGGACTGAAAAAGTCTCCCGATGGCCCTGTAGAGAGTTCCCTGAAGGACTGTTCCTGAGTTCTGGAGAAGTTTTCTTATAAATAAATAGTCGACCTCTGGTTAACTGAGGTCGATATTATTTCTATGAAAGGTGAACAAATCCTCTTCAAACGTAAGTTCGGAAAAAAGACTCCTCATTGGTCTGAAGATTCTGATACAAACAAAAAAAATCGTTGCGGGTCCTTGGCGATTGTTTTATAAAAAAACTCACCACAGTAACTTCATGATTATTGTCTATTATTCTTTCTCAATGGTCTCAGGATTTGTTTCTATCAAAACAAGGCCTCTTCATGGGTCAGAAAATATAATTTAATAGAAAAAATCTGCTTTGAAAAGGACTGTTCCTAGAATGAAGACAAATGTCAAACTTTGACAAATTTGAATTTAATTCGCATATGCAAGTTTCGCATCAGGGCGGAATAAATACAAGTTATCAACGTACGACATTTGTAAAGCCACATAGCCCAATATGCCTGATGAGCCGCTTATCCAACGGCGAAACGCGTCGCATAATGGTGGGTAATCCTGGCTTTCCTTTTCATTGCAAAACTTAGATCATCAAGCTCGACTCGAAAGAGTATAAATAACCACATAAAAAAAGAAAAAATCTTCTTCAGATGTTCGGTGGATTTTTTCTTTAAAAAAATCATTTCTGGCTCCAAATAATTCATATAGATGGAACCTAGAAATTCTTCTATTATAAAAAACATCCGACGATTTTTTTTTTTTTTTTTGAGCTTCCTGATGATTTTTTTGCTATAGAAAAAATTTTCTTTTATAACTCGAGTAACTACTTTGAAGAGAAAAAAACTTTTTTGGGGATTTCTTACTACAAAAGCTAGCCTCCTTCGTTACTGGGAATTTTTCCATAGAAATTAGTCCTTAAGTTGTATAAGGAAACTGTTTTCGATTGCAATAAGACCTCATGAAGACCTAAGATTTTTTTTTACTAAAAAATACTTCCTCAGGGGTATGATATTTTTACCAAATTTACTTCGACAAAAAAATGGCCTATAAATAAGGTCTCCCAGGGAGACCAGCTGGAAATCGATACCTCTCAAGTTTGCTGTCAAAATGCATTATTGTGAATTGACTTCCATTATGAAAATGTAAACAAAGTCGAATTTTTTGACATTAGAATTGAGAAAAAAAAAACAGCTGTTTTCCGATTTCAATTGCTACTTTGGTGACCTTATTAATAGATCTTGAACAAAAAGTCTTTCTGAAGATATTTCTAAGACAAAAAAAAAACCATAAGAATTTTTTTTAAGCTTTATAGTCCGTGTCTGCAAAGGTTCTTTTTATTAAAAAAATGAGGATCGTGAGGAATACACGTTTTGGTTGAGGACCCTGAGAGAATTTTTTCCAAGAAAAATTTTTCTCAGGCAGAGTTTTTTTATAGGAAAAAATCCTCAAGTCACTGACTAAGGCTTCCTCAAGCAAATCAAACATCAGCCTCTTGAGCAAAATGTTTCCCTATGTAAAACATTCGACAGGTCCCTCAAAGAACAATTTTGTTCTGTGGAAACATCCCGTTAAAAAAACTGAGATTTTTTGCGGAAAAAATTTAAACATCTGCTGTGTCTACAGAAAAAAAATCGCTGGACCATGAAGACAACAATTAGTCCATAAAAAAATAATCCGTGTCTGAACAGGTCCTTTGTCTCTTGAGAAAGATTTTTCCTAAAGCAAAGCTAAGCTCTGCCTCTAGAGTAAATTGTTAAGCAAAAACCTTCGACAGATCCCTCGAGGAAACAATCTGTCAAGAACTGAGATTTATTTTTTTCAGAAACAAATTTAAGCATCTGCTGATAATATTTTTTTATAGAAAAAATCCAGGTTCTGAGGATGGAAATATTTTCTTAGCTAGTGAAGAATAATGTTTTTTCCTCGCCTACTGAGGATGATTTTTCCCTACAGAGGTCCTGAGGTTGTAGCTGAGGATTTATTTTAAAAAATCATATTTTTGCCTACTTTTAGGTGATAGTAGTTTATATTTGCTATGGCCGTTGCATACATTTAGGCTGTGACCATAAAATACTATTATAAAATATGGTGCCTACTTTTAGGCGTTTTTATATTTTGTGGAATTTGTGTGGCATATTTTTAGGGGCTATTTAAATGGAATTAATAAAAATTGTCTTTAATTGTGTAATTTGTTTTCTTTTCTTCCAGCAAACATACAATTTTTTTTGTAAAACAAAATCATCAAGAGAAAAATTTAACATAATTTAATTGGCTTTAAAAAATATAATATTTTTAAGTAATCAAAAAAAAAATTAAATCTAGTTTAAAATAATTCTACAGAAAACAAAGAAAGTAGTCGAAAAGTTTTTTTATTGGGAATAGAATTAAAAAAAAATAAATCAAAAAACCAAAATCAAACTGAAAAAAAAACTACAAATCTACGTTTTAGGGGAAAACCAAAACGCTTCTTTATAGGATTAAATAAATTAAAAAAACCAAAACTTTACCACTTAGTCAAAAATCGTAATCAAAAAAATCGATCATCCTCTGAATTTTCGTCAGAATCTTCGGCAGCATCATCGTCTTCATCTCATCATAATTGATTGCTAGTTGGTCGTTTTTTTTCTTTGGCGTGTTTTCCAAAATATTATGGATGGCAAGTTAACGCGAGAAAAACACAGAGCGGAACCACCAGCAACTACAGAAATTTTGAAAACCATATCACCATCCTCTTCCACTTCGGAAAAATCAACGAAAAAACGCCATCGTCTTCGAAGATCCACAGATAATTTTGATTCCGATGATGCGGAATTAATAACTACCCGCTCCGAAGTACAATTATCTGCCAAGGGCTCCAAACCCATTGCAGGCGTAATGGGTGGAGGTTTTGTGACACCTCCAACAGCTGCCAAAGATATCGATATCGAAAACGCTGTGACCACAGTAGCGTTAATAACGAATCAAAACGACAACGAAACCACGAAGAGCCGTCAACAACCCCCCTCCGGAGACAACATCACCCATAAACAAATGCACGAAAAGCTCTTGGAAAACGACGGGTGTGACAAGACACCCCCTACCCCGTCGAGTAAAGGGGAAAAGGTAAAACATAAACCCCATAAAGAATCTAAATTTGCCGAAAAGTTAAGGCGTAGTTTTCGCAGGGCCGAACATAAGTCGCTGGAAATAAAACGCCAAGATAAAATCGATGCCACGGAACGAGGTGGAGCAGGAGGAGGTCTGAGGCCTTTACATCAACAGTTACAAAATTCGGCATCGATATTTTCCCTCACCAATTTACCAGGTCTTGGGGGTCATATCAATCCAGCCCTGCTACTCGATAGTCCTGATGAAAGTACACCACCCGAATTTGCCTATCGCCATTTGAGTAGTGTGGCCACCACGAATTCCAGTACCTCGCTGGAATCGAATTTTTGTGAGAGCCCTACCACCAGCATTAGCTATTGGGCCTGGCATATGAACAACAACAACAGTATGGGTGGAGAAGTGAGCACAAACTCGAACCCCAATTCCAATCAGGGTAATAATCGGAATCTCAGCGCACCCTCACAGCAAGAGGTGGCGGCTGGAGGGACAGGAACACGAAATAGGCGCTTGGAACAGCAGAGTAGCAGTAAAAGTGATCAGGGTGGCGGAGGAGGATGTGGGACCTCCGATCATCCCAATGTCACCGCTGACAGTCGCAGCTGTAGCACAGCCAGTGAAAGCAGTACTGCAGCCAAGCTAACCCGCCTACAAAATTTCCTTTTCAAGTCCAGCAATGAAAGTTCCCGCAGCATTCAGGGTCACTCGAATGAAGGCTTTACCATCTCCTCCTTTAATTCGTCTTCGGGAGAATGGGAGAATCTTTGCAATTTCCCCTCAACAAGTCAGAATCTCAATCACCCTGAGGATGCAACACAATTTCCCCTCTCGCAAGAGGAAGAAACAGTTCCGCACCAAAAACACAAAGAAAACCTCTCGGATTCCAATGGCTCCCTTCGCAACTACTACCAATATACCCTGGCCTCGCCGAGCAATCCATTCCTCCCCGAAATCACCGCACGCACCTATCACAGTACCTACGAGGAGGAAGAAGAAGAGCGAGATCTCGAAGAGGAACTCGATTCAAATGTGACCTCGGTAAAATATCGCATAGGTTGTCATTCGGCCCAGCTACCCACCCCGAACTATAGTCGTACAGGGTCACAAGAATCCACCCACAGTGAATATGCAGGGGGAGCCTACGGCGGTGTCCCCAGTGGTCTGGCCTCTTCCACTCGCTATGACAGTTCCAATTCCTCGCTGGGCGGCACCTCTACCCCTGGCAAACATAAACGGAAACTTTTCAGCCTCTCAACACCCACGAAGCTGGATTTCCCTCACACCACACCGATCAGCAACAGTAGCAGTCAGGCCTCTCATCAATCGATAGCATCGAAAAATCCTTCCTCTTCATCTTCCTCGTGTAATCTAGTACGTAGCCTTAATCCTTTTTTGCCTTCCACAACGGTGACCTCATCATCGCCGCCACAGCGAACCGCCTCTTCGAGCAGTCTTAATAAACAACAACGTATGGGACCATTTAAACAACAGGCTGTTACCTCTCCGATTGCCATACCACCGGCGAGTGGTGGTGGTAGTGGCAACATAATGGGTATGACTCAAATGTCAGGATCTGGATCGGGACCGTTGCGAGATTTAAATGCCCGGCGTGAGGAATTTCTAAAGGCCACAATGCAGATATGTTTGGTGGTGTCACCACCCTCATCGAGATTGCAGGTAATTAGAAAAAATATTTATACAAAAAAATATTTTTTGTTGTTGTAATTTTATTTTTTATTGTTTTTGTATTTTTTATATATTTTTTTTTTTCAATAAAAAAATATTTTAAAAAAATATATAATTTTGTGTTTTTTTTATTTTTAATGACCCCCTCAGTACCCTGGGTCGTATAATCAATGCCCAAGAATTATTACTCATACCATACCCTGGACCTTAATTCTTATTAGTTATACGACCCATGGTCCTTCAATGAAAATTTTAATCAAAAAGAGTCTCAGGAGGCCTGGATTTAAAAAAATCGTAAAGCCTTCACTAGGCGTGGATTTTTTAAAGCATATTTTTAGGGTTTTATAAAAGGCGTGGATTTTTTAAAAGCATATTTTTAGGGTTTTATAAAAGACGTGAATTCTTTAAAAGCATATTTTTAGGGTTTTATAAAAGGCGTGGATTTTTTTAAAAGCATATTTTAGGGTTTTATAAAAGGCGTGGATTTTTTAAATAATTTTTTTCAAGGAGAATAAAAGGCGTGGATTTTTTAAAAGCATATTTTTGGGGTTTCATAAAAGGCGTGGATTTTTTAAAAGCATATTTTTAGGGTTTTATAAAAGACGTGAATTCTTTAAAAGCATATTTTTAGGGTTTTATAAAAGACGTGAATTTTTTAAAAGCATATTTTTAGGGTTTTATAAAAGGCGTGGATTTTTTAAAAGCATATTTTTAGGGTTTTATAAAAGGCGTGGATTTTTTAAAAGCATATTTTTAGGGTTTTATAAAAGGCGTGGATTTTTTAAAAACATATTTTAGGGTTTTATAAAAGGCGTGGATTTTTAAAAGCATATTTTTAGGGTTTTAAAAAAGGCGGGAATTTTTTAAAAGTATATTTTTAGGGTTTTATAAATGGCGTGGATTTTTAAAAGCATATTTTTAGGGTTTTATAAAAGGCGTGGATTTTTTAAAAGCATATTTTTAGGGTTTTATAAAAGGCGTGGATTTTTTAAAAGCATATTTTTAGGGTTTTATAAAAGGCGTGGATTTTTTAAAAGCATATTTTTAGGGTTTTATAAGAGGCGTGGATTTTTTAAAAGCATATTTTTAGGGTTTTATAAAAGGCGTGGATTTTTTAAAAGCATATTTTTAGGGTTTTATAAAAGGCGTGGATTTTTTAAAAGCATATTTTTAGGGTTTTATAAAAGGCGTGGATTTTTTAAAAGCATATTTTTAGGGATTTATAAAAGGCGTGGATTTTTAAAAGCATATTTTTAGGGTTTTATAAAAGGCGTGGATTTTTTAAAAGCATATTTTTAGGGTTTTATAAGAGGCGTGGATTTTTTAAAAGCATATTTTTAGGGTTTTATAAAAGGCGTGGATTTTTTAAAAGCATATTTTTAGGGTTTTCTAAAAGGCGTGGATTTTTTAAAAACATATTTTTAGGGACTTACACAAGGCGTGGATTTTTTTAAAAGCATATTTTTTTGGGTTTTATAAATGGCGTGGATTTTTTAAAAGCATATTTTTAGGGTTTTATAAAAGGCGTGGATTTTTTTAAAAGCATATTTTTAGGATTTTATAAAAGGCGTGGATTTTTTAAAAGCATATTTTTAGGGTTTTATAAAAGGCGTGGATTTTTTAAAAGCATATTTTTAGGGATTTATAAAAGGCGTGGATTTTTTAAAAGCATATTTTTAGGGTTTTATAAAAGGCGTGGATTTTTTAAAAGCATATTTTTAGGGTTTTATAAGAGGCGTGGATTTTTTAAAAGCAAATTTTTAGGGTTTTATAAAAGGCGTGGATTTTTTAAAAGCATATTTTTAGGGTTTTCTAAAAGGCGTGGATTTTTTAAAAGCATATTTTTAGGGACTTACACAAGGCGTGGATTTTTTTAAAAGCATATTTTTTTGGGTTTTATAAAAGGCGTGGATTTTTTAAAAGCATATTTTTAGGGTTTTATAAAAGGCGTGGATTTTTTTAAAAGCATATTTTTGGGGTTTCATAAAAGGCGTGGATTTTTTTAAAATCATATTTTTAAATTCACCTTTTTATTTTAAATGAATTACCCATCGACCTTAGACGTATACGGAATATTCTACAATTAATTACTCATACAACACCATGAACATGAAATACTATTAATTATACGCATCGTGGTTCCAGTAGGACTATTTTGAACTAAATAACAATTTTTAAAACAAAATTTCAACGACAAGGATATTTTTAAGGATCTATAGAAGCGGGATTATTTATAATAGTATTTTGCAGAGACCCACGTTCTTACAAAATATTTTTTTCCAGAGTCCGTTATGTTTGCCCCTCATTTCTTCCATGTCCTCATAGAACTTTATGTACCTTCGCCCTTCCCAACCCCCACAGTCAATTGCATTTTATGTTCGAAACGAACTACTATCAGTGGCATTTCAAGTTGAATGGCTTTACAATTTTTTAATGTCCTTCTCAGCCAAAAAAAAAAAAAAATAAATAAAAAAACTCTCATGGCAAAGTGCTTGACATAACGACATTTAGTTAAATGACACACACACAAACACACCGAGACCCCGAAATCACAACAGTCAGCAACGGACAATGTAACAAAACATGTTTAAGTGTGGTATAAAAATTGTTTAAGCGGAAACGGAAACTGTTACGGCAAATACTGTTCGTATGATGGTGATGTCAGCATTGCGGAAAAGAAAACTAGGAGGAAAAAAATTATGACAGACCGACTGGCAGAATGAAGGAGTTTTTGTTGCAACACACAAGAGAAATTAAGGAGAAGAAGAAGAGGAAGACATGACAAAATATTTGAAAATTATGAGAATAATTGAGACATATGGTTGAGGATTGAAAAAAATTTCTACTTTTTAAAATCTACTTGTTTTTTGAAATCGCACATATTTTGTGGTTATTATGTTAAAAATTATCATATTGGAACCATGATGCGTATAATTTATAATAATTGAGGTTCATGGAGTCGTATGAATAATAATTGTGAATTATTGGTTATACGCCCCAGAGCACCGGGTAATCATTTCAAAATAAACATGTGAAAAATATTTTTTTTCTTTATGTAAATTTCGAAAAATATTTTTTAAAAAATCCTTACTTAGCTGGCTTGTGACAACTCTTTCGTTCCATAAGCCGAGCTTAAAAAAATTTTCCAGGCGCGTCGGTCTTTTGCGCAGTTTTCTTTTTTAAATTTGAAAGACCATATTCGGCAATTTTGTCTTCCACTTGGTCTTTCCATCTTATTCGTGGCCTTCCCCTTCTGTGTGAACCATCAGCTGGTTCGCTTTTATATGTCTTCTGGGCTGGGGCATCTTCATCCATTCTCACAACATGACCTAGCCAACGTAGTCGCTGCAACTCAATGTCGATGTCCGAGAATAGTTGGTACAACTCATGGTTCAGTCGACGGCGATATTCACCGTCAAGGCAGATCGGGCCATAGATCTTTCGGAGAAATTTTCTCCCAAACACCCCAAGAGCAGCCTCAACTGCCTGCGTAAGTACCCATACTTCAGATCCATATAACTGCACGGGTAGTATTAGCGTCTTGTAGAGTCTGAGTTTGGTTTGGCGGGAAGTGACCTTGCTTTTGAGTTCTTTGCTCAGACCATAGTAGCATATGTTGGCCATCACAATCCTTCTCCGAATTTCACAACTGATGTCATTCGTTTTGTTTATGGCGGTAGCAAGGTATATAAAATCTTTGACCTCGAAGCTGTAGTTCTCAAGTTCCACAGTTAGTCCGAGTCTACTGAACATCTTGCGCGTTGATACCATCAGCTTGATCTTCTCGCCATTTACTACCAGTCCCACCACTTTAGCAGACTCGTTCTCAATTTGTTCAAAGGTGGCTGTTACCGCTCTCACTGTTCGACCCATTATGTCGATGTCATCGGCGTAGGCGAGTAACTGGTGTTGTTTGGTGTACAGAGTGCCATTTCTGTTCACCTTTGCCAGTTTGTCGTGTCGACAAACTGTCACCTTGACTGAATCCTCGTTCGGTATTAAAGAGCTCCGATAGGTCCTTTCCTACTTTAACTGCTGAGCTTGTGCCACTTAAGGTTATCCTGCATAGCCGTATTAATTTTGCAGGAATTCCGAACGTAGACATGGCTTTAAACACCTCTGAACGGATAGGGCTAGCGAATGCGGCTTTATAGTCGACGAATAGGTGGACGAAAAACTGTCACCTTGTCTGAATTCTCGTTCGGTATTAAAGGGCTCCGATAGGTCCTTTCCGACTATAACTGCTGATTTTGTGCCACTTAAAGTTATCCTGCATAGCCGTATTAATTTTGCAGGAATGACGAACGTAGTCATGACTTTAAACACCTCTAAACGGATAGGGCTGTCGCGAATGCGGCTTTATAGTCGACGAATAGGTGGTATGTTTCGATGTGTTTCTCGTGGGTTTTTTCCCAGGATTTGGCGCAGAGTGAAAATCTGGTCAATGGTGGATTTGCCATGTCCGATTGCTATGGTCCAATATAATCCAATAATGACATTGACCATTGGCTTCAATCGTTCACACAGCATACTGGATAGCACTGGGAAGGAGATTTATTCCTGTATAGTTAGCGCATATCGTCTTGTCTTGTGCACGGGTCACAGGATGCTGAGGTTCCAATCATTGGGCATGCATTCTTCTAGCCAAATTGTACTAATCAGTTGGTGCATGCACCTTACCATCATCTTACCACCAGTCTTGAATAGTTCGGCCGATTGATTGCTATTCTGACTTCATCTTGGCTAGGTGGTATACACTCTATACCGTCATCTATTATTGGTCCTGGGGTATCCACTTCGCTGCTACTATTTGATACCAGAAGTTTTTCAAAATGCTCCTTCCAGATCCTCGGCACGCTGTCTGTATCTGTCACCAGGTTTCCTTCTTCATCACAACAGGAGGATGTGCCTGCACCAAAGACTTCGGTTTGGTGTTTTACACGTTGGTAGAATTTTCGGACTTCATTCTGACTCCTGTACATCTCGGTTTG